TTGCAGCCTGGGACCAGATAATATTGGTCAGGTAGGACTAGGGAACCAGCCATCCCCAAAAATTCATAAAAAGAAAAAAAATACAATTAAATCTCTAACACAAAAGGCAAAACAAAGTTAAAATAACTATAATGCAATAGCCAAGGCACCATCACAGACTCATAGCACACCTACACTTAACTAACTTAACTAACATCCTGGTCCAGTGTTTGAGGGAACAGCCACATCTTCACAGCTCTTTCAGAGGGGTCAGAGCCCTTTGGATCGCAGGGGAGAGGGTGTTCCACAGGGCAGGTGCCATGACAGAGAAGGCATTAATGTTAGGATTCAGCTGAGCAGAGGTAAATGGAAATCAGAGCAAGTGTCAAATGAACTGGGTTTAGGGGCCTGAGTCCTTGCTGTGTGGAGTCCAAAATGTCTCTGGATAGCTTTCTCGGCCTTGTCTCCAGATGGGAAGGGCTGAGCCGTGGCAAGGCAGGTGGGGAACTGGAGGTCCATGGTAGAACATCTGCATTACGCAAGTGGGATAAAGTGCAGCCCCGGAATCCTTGTTTTGTAGGTCTTAAAACCTTCTGGCTGTGATGGCTGAAAATTGATGGCATGGTTCCTGGTATTATGAAGTGGGGAACAGATGAAAATTATAATGTAAACTCCTAAATAGTGATACCAGATAACAAACAGATAAAACCTCCCAAATTCCCCTCAAATGCACTCCCACTTAATGTATGATGCAGCCCCAGCCACCTTGCAGTCCTCTATCCCCACCTCTCTCAAATTTTCAGAGCTCTGGGCCATCAAAAGTTTGTCCATCCTTGCTTTTCAGGAAAAGGCCCAAATTTAATCCCTGTGCCTCTAAGAGTGGGGCATGCCCACACCCGAACCTGGAGTCGCTGGTGGAATTCATGCTGCATTGCATCATTACAGATTGGTTTGGTTTGGGGTTAGTGTATTACAAAAACCCAGCTATTATGATTTATCTGCCATGGTTTATGGCTGGGTTGTATGAACCAAAGCAATTCAGGTTTATTCCTTAAATCATGGTTTTAAAAGTCATTATTTAACATAATCGGTGGCAAGTGGGTGCAAAAGGCCTTCCTTTTGCTCCAGAGAAAATTAAAACTAAACCAATCCCCAGCCTTGCCCCACAGCCGCTTCCCATGCAAGCTTGATCCTTTAGCTTCTTCCAGCATGAACAATATTGACCCATGGTCAGATACATAGTGTTCACACAAACTTGCCTAACTGAGACAAAAGTGCAGTGACTGCGCTCGTAAGTGTACTAAGCTTGGTTTTAATCTACAGGAGAGGTTTTGTTTTTTGTTTTGTTTTTTTAATGGCTTAGCCTGTTGTGCAAACCCAAAGACAAAGTCGCGCATGGAAAGAAAAGAAGACCAACTTGGAAGCAGCTGCCTTAAGTCCTGAAAAGCAGGGCATGGATCGAAATAAACAAACCAACGTTGGACCACGACTCCCATGATTCCTAGCGGAGCGAGTGGAGGTTCTGGGAGTTGGAGTCCAACCCTGATGGAAGAAACTAGGCCGGTCTCTCGGCTCCGGCCCCCTTCAGCGTTTAGAACTACGCCTCCCGGCAGGCCCCGCGCTCCGTGGCGACGTCTTCCTGGCCGCAGCCCCCTCAGGGCAGTCAAGATGGCCGCGCGCTGGAGCAGCGAGAATGTGGTGGTGGAGTTCCGGGACTCGCAGGTACTCGGCGCCGCGGAAACGCGCAGCCTTGTCCCCGGTGGCCTGCCGGCGGAGCTGCCTCCGGCCCCAGTTCCGTAGCGCTCGGGAGTGGGGGGCATCCTGGCCGCGCCTCCCCCCGGGGGATGCGGGGAGCGCGCTGAGGTCGCTGCCCGGCGCCGTCTTGCCCGGTGCTCGGAGGTGGCTTCGCCTGCTGCCGAGCGCCGCCCCCCTCCACCCCGGCACCTTTCAGGCGTGCTGGACTACAGCTCCTATCATCCCCAGCAGCGGGGGGAGGAGCAGCAGCCGTGGTTGGTTCCTCTCGACTGCAATAATAATAGTAATAACAACAACAACAATAATTCTAATGCAGCTGCCCATTCCAACGGACTCTGGGCTGCTGGCAAGATATACTGATTAAAACAATAATAAATTAGATTTAATGCAGCTGCCATCTAATGGACTCTGAGTGGCTTACAAAATATAATACTAATTAAAACAATTAAAAGGATAAAAATGGGGCAAGGGCAGCGCTTCCAGTCTTTTCCTTCTCCCTCACCACCATCTCCTCGCATTATTATTAAAATTACTTATTTCTGAGTTTTATTATAAGGACACCCCCCTTTCCAAGGGGCTTGGGAAACAATGTAAACATTTGTAAGTAAAGGTTACTTAAAAACAAGCCAGACGAGACCTGGGGTATTTCCTCTAGAGTGGTTTTTCTTAAAACTGGAGGGTAATTTGGGCATAAGGGGGACGCGGTGGCGCAGCGGCTTAATGACGCTGAAAGTTGCTGGCCAGAAATGGTCGACACTTCAGTGGTTC